GAAGTCGCTCCTGCGCTTGTCACCTTCTTTCCCCGGCACACCTCTACCTTCTCCCAAAGGGCAGTTAGCGGCGAAATGGCCACGATTCCCACATCTAAGGCACAGCCCTTGTTTCATCCGCTGCTCCCTTACCGACGGCCCCGCGGCCCCGGCTTTTGCTTTGGGGTGGGGATGCACCGACGTTGTTCTTTCACCCGTGACTGTGTTATCCAGGCGCATAGTGCACAAACGGCTCTCGGCACTCTCAGCCTCATGCATCCACGCGTCGAAGGTCCGTGGGTCTCGGGTCCCCAGAACCGCATTTCGGATCTCCGTGTTCAGGCCCAACCTGTACTGCTGGGCAAACACGGGGTCAGTCCAGTCCCGGATTTTGGCCGCCTGCCGATGAAATACAGTGGAATACTCCTGAACCGTTAACTTGCCTTGCTTGAACGTCCGGAGGAACGCCTCTGCTTTTCCCCCGCCGTGCAGTCTTTGAACCGGGCTCGCAGCGCCCACATAAAGGCATCAACGCTCTCTAACTCCCTCACTTCCAGGATGTGGAGCCCCACATACCAGCTCGTCGCTGCACCTCGCAGGCGGGAAGCGATAAAATCAACTTGCGTCTCCTCGTCGGGAAACAAGTGAGCCGAGCATTCAACAAACTTCATCACCCGCATGATAAAGAACGACAGGTTCTCTGGGTTGCCATGAAACGTTACATCCAGCAAGTCTTTAGGTTGTGGCATCGCCGGGGGAGGGGGGGCGGCAGTGGAGGTGGCGGCGGGACCAGCAGACCAGGACCCGGGGCTGGCGGGGGGCGCTGTGGCGGCACCTGAGGGGCGGCCAGTTGGGTCTGCACCGCTCGGGCCAGTATTCCCGGTAGGTTATGGTCCCATGTCACGCATAATACTGCGACAGTCCAGTTCCAACACATCCTGTCTCCCATCCACGTCCAAACCTGGACTCACCGACGATCTCAGTGGGAATGAGATGGGTCGACTCGGGGTCATTCCAAAGCTCCTGGAGCTAGACCGCGGGTCAAAGATGCTGTCCCGACTCCTACTCCTAATCCCTGGTACCAACCAGGTAGTTTGCGTGGAGTCGCCTAGATGCCTGTTCCAATCCCTCTCTTTACGGCGGTAGGTCACCCCTCTTCCCAGATGCACTGGGATGAACGAGATTGTCGATCTCGGGATGACCCCTCCATCCGTAGAGGCTGGCACGCCGGGGCTTCGCATTGTTATTGGCACCCCCATTCCCGCCGTGGTGGTCGGGAGCATCATCGCCCCCCCCCGTGGTAGTTGGAGTAGGGGCCGCCGTTGTGATCGGGGTAGGTGCTGCCGTTGTTGTCGGGGTAGGTACTGCCATTGTGATCGGGGTAGCGCCCCCTGTCCCACCGGGACCGCTCATCTCGTTCTCGAGAGACTCGGCTCGATGGAGAATCGCAACGGATTTCTAACAATTTCTGTCAGGTTCCACAGCAAGTCACTCTTCACACACGTTTCCTAAGAAGCATTATGCTTTATTAGTGTTCAAGACTGGTACCATATTCACAGGATTATTGTTAGGAATAACTAGAAGGCGGGAACATCCCAATACATATAGCTGGGCAAGGCAACTAGCTAAGCAGATGAACTTTGAGTGCGTGTGCGGGAATTCTCCCGGCGGGAGATTACATAATGAGCGGGAGAGTCACAGGGTTTCCTGAGAGCAGAAAGATTCACACCAAATGTGGACCGCAAACCCTCCCTACTTCACAAGGCCAGACTGATAACGGCGTCTAGCTCCCACGGTCTCCCTGGCATGTTTACTGCAAGCTGCTGAGCTGCATGCAAGCGGGAACAGGGAAGGGCAGAATACCCATAAATGGCAGCTAGCTGACAGGTAGTACCATTGGAAAGCACCATCAGTAGCTTAATGTAGCTGTAGTTTTGTTCTGGTCTGTGCTTCCATCCCTGTGCAGAAAGTCGCAAGGGTTGCTACTGAACAGAATGAGATTTCATGATATGCCACAGTTCACAAGGCAAGAACAAACCATGCTTTAGAATACCATTTTACTTTCCACCATTTGTTCAACAGCCTGTATTGAGACATCACACTAACCTCAAGTTTAATTTAACCATGACTTATAAATTGGTTTTATTGTGAAGTCAAAATATAGCCAAAACATATAGTTAATCTTTTCAAGTGAACAAAAAGGAAGATATTCCATTGCCTGTTAAGGAACTAGGACTTTAAGGCTGTTGCTGATCTAACTGTTTGTTGTAAAAGTTTATGTATAGAAATGTAAACTGGCCAGAAGAGAGAGGAATTCTTAGGAATTCCTTAGCTGTGTTAATTATAGAAATGATATAATTTAAAAAATGAATGAAATTATGTTTTCTAAAGTCTGTTCTAAATCAAGACTTGATCTGAACAGTTTGTTTTTCCTATTGATTGGGATTCTGGGCATGGAGCTCACAGATCCACTGAAAACAATTATTGTATTTATCGACTTTTTACTTTTAATCCTAAATGTCTGATTCATTTAAATACCTGGAGATCTGTAACTGACAACCAGAAATCTAGCAACTGGTAGGCCATTGTCAAATCTATCCTCTGTTGCAAGCTGATATGTAAGCACTGACCTTCTGCTACTCTTGCTAAAGATTTCTGGTTGTGATTAGAGTGAAGCCTGCAGAAAAATGAATAAGGTGCTCCCTGGCAGCTCTGAAGCATGTACCAATGGAAGGGAGAGGAGTGTCTCAAACCTTGTGCTAGACTCAGTCCACTGACCAGTCTAGTTGGCAAGCGTAACTTGGTGTTGTTTATGTAGATAGGGCTAGAAGAATAGCAGACCATGTATGTAAATCTTTAATCACTGTAAGTTTAATTAAAATATTTATACTTTATTCTTCTTTTCCAAGTAATAATTCCACTTTGATAAGCCTTTCATATTTCTAAGTTTAATGGTGATGGTTCTCTCTAGCTAATTCTTTCAATTCATTATGCCTAGGTACTGCAAGGGTCTCACAACAGGGATGATCGTACATGAATTTGCTGAAATTCTTAAGCATAGTCGGGTGAGTTAAGGTTGAGCTTCTATCCTTAACTCTCACATTTTCTTGCTTTCATGGGTTTTAAGTTATTCCTGTAACACACGTGACATTTCTGTCCTACATGCATCAATTTTTAGTAAGTGATCAAAGGGGTTGTATCCTTGAAGCCTCGTATAAGGACTTCTAGAATGTGTTATGCAGTCACCCCTGAATAGCTGAGACCCTTTGTTGAATCAATATCATTGAAGCACTATATTTGAAAATAAAATCTCACAATTCAGCCGGGACACTGTTGTGAAACAGCTTTTTGAGATACTTGGCAGTGTTATTTGTTTAAAAAGAAAGTTTACTCTGGTCATCTCCAGGATATATACTAGTACAGGTTCACACATCTTGTGCTGACAAAGCTAACTGCAGCTTACCGGACATGTATATGTAACAAACAATGGCAATACAGATTTAGTATACCAGACATGTATGGCAGCTCAGTAAACTATCTGGTCTCACTATTTGCCTGGGATTGCAAACAGAAGGATATTTAAGAATACTTACCAATTACAAAATAATACTTTGTTTGTAATCCCAACCAAAATAAAACCAAGTGGCTTATTCAACTGCCATAGATGCTGGGCAGGCTGTGTTCCATTTGTAGAACCAGTTAAGCAGATTTAACAACATATGAAGAGCCCTGCCAGATCAGACCAGTGGTCCATCTAGTCCAGCATCCTGTCTCACACAGTGGCTAGCCAGTTCCTCTGGTGGGCCAACAACAGGTCCTAAAGGCCAAGTCTTCCTCTTATTAGTTGCTGTAGATTTTCCGGGATGCTGTAGATTTTCTGGGATTTTCCTCCTCTTATGTTGCCTCCTGGCTCTGGAATTCAGAAGTTTAGTGCCTCTAAATGTGGAGGTTCACCTCAGTCACCATGGCTAGTAGCCATTGATAGACTTCTCCTCCATGAATCTATCTAACCACCTTTTAAAACTGTTTATTCCTGTGGCCATCACTACATCCTCTGGTAGTGAATTCCACATTTTAATAACTCTTTGTGTAAAGCAGTATTTCTTTTTGGCCGCCCTGAATCTACTGCCCATCAGATTCACTGGATGCCCTCAAGAATTTGTATTGCACAGTAGAAAACCTGATTTTTTCTGAAAGCTTTTATGAAACTGCTCTTCATTTATAAAAGGAGAAAATTACATGGATAATTTCTGTGTGAGAATACCTGTTATACAAACTGATCGTACCACTTCAAAAGCAACTTTCTAAAGGCTGAGGAACAATTGACATAAAATCAGGTTTTGTTATTGGGTGGGGGGAACACATTTCAAGAGTACATAGTGGTACTTATGCACAGATCTTACAAGTATAACTTAAAACCTGCAAATGCAAGAATTCTAGTTTAGTCTCCCCCTGATTTGCCCATTTTGCTTAAGCATTGTAGCATATTTTCCATTGCTTTGACTCTCTGCAATCCCAAGGCATAATGTAGAATAGAAAAGGACAGCAGTCCTGAGATTTGCTATGGAAACATGTGAGTGTTTACGATTACTAGTAGGTGTACCAGTGCAGTATCTCAAACATGATATTAAACAAGCTGTCTTAAAGATCTGGTTATACAGCTATAATCTTTAAACCTGTGGTTATACAGCTATAATCTTTAAACCTGTGGTTTGTGTCTGACAAGGTCACATACAACCAAACGCATTCAGAGATCATGTTCCAAGTTATCGTGATCCATAGATATAATTTGGAAATAGCATGACTTTCTTAATACAATAGTATTTAGTGTTTGTTTGGTAGGTAGATATATTTGAGAGTCCCATTCATATTTCAATTTAAAGTATATCTTTGGCAAGATCATGCGGGATTCCAGAGAGAATGGCATATAGTGTGGAAAAGAGAATAATATATAAAATATTTGAGAATAATATATAAAATACTTGAAAGACACTAATTTCAGACTGTTTTCCCTTTGAAAGGGTTCTTGGATCCTGAAAAGAAGCTTTTTTCTCATCGAATATTGTCAAGGGACGAATGTATTGATCCATACTCTAAAACTGGGAACCTTAGGTATGTATTGGGAGGGGGAGGACTGCTTTTTGGTGACATGAATGGCTTACTTCTAGAAACGACAAAACTGTAGAAGTCACATTCTTGTGATATTTTTAATTATTTTTTCTCCTCCAAATCTTCCATTTCTGTCCATGTCTGTATACACAAATGCTTGCTTTTAATGTAAAGCAGTAATATTCAGAGTAGCATGACAGAAATTGATGACAATTGCCCTAGCTTTTCAAAACTACAGTTTAAAGCTAAATTTCAGCAACTGTTCTGTCAGAATCTTCTGTAAGTAGTCTGAAAATTTGGTATTTCATATAGCAAGGAATGGCATTACATTAACTTTAGCAGTAACATTTTGCTGCTATAAATGTACAGAACAGCATGTGATAAGTTTTACAGTAGATGCCAATGATTGATAGTTGTATATGTTGTTAACTGAGAATTCTTTTTTTGTATTTTTTATATGTGCATGTGTGAGTGCGTGTGCACCTGGAAAGTCATGGTGACCTCTGGTGACCGACCCCTACTGGGGGCCTGGAGGGTATTCAGAGAGGTGGCTGAATGAAGCCTGCCCCCACCTTTGGTATTTCAAGGATGTCTCCCATCCAAGTACTTGCCAAAGTCAACCCTGCTTAGCTTCTGAGATCTGATGAGATGGGGCTTGCCCGGGCTATCCAGGTCAGGGCGTTAACTGAGAATTCTGATAGATATATTCCATTGTGCATTTTCACTTTTGCACCTCTAAATGTTTATTTATCAACATGCTTACGAGTTGGCCTGAAGCATTTGCTGAATCGATGTCTTGAGTTCTTTGCATCTAATAGGTTCCAACTGAATTACGAAAGATCATAAATTCTTGTTTTCTCAAGAACACGGAAACCGTACAAATAGAAAATAAATGGAAATAGAATAGAACAGGTTAAACTTTTTAAATACTTAGGTATACATTTCCAATACAATGTGCCACTACATATTCACCATAAGTCAGCAATAAATCTTGCTAACATCAGTGTCATGGCTATTACTCACTTTTTCTATAACAGAGGCAACCCGTTTGTACCTGCTGCACTAAAGGTCTTTAATGCTAAAGTGGGTCCGTAAATACTATATGGTATCCCACTTTGGACTGGTGAATTTGATCATTCTTTGGAATGTATTTAGTCCAAATTCCTTCATAAAATCTTTAGAATGCTGCATTGTGTGCATTTTGCCGCACTCTGTTTGTAAACCAGACAAGCCTTAGTTGAAACTAGGGCGTGGCTCGCAACTATCAAATACTGGCTGTGACTACAGTATAACTCTGATCCCTCTAGTTTTATTTATCAAATGCTATCAAAATCTGAATTGTCTTAACTGGTTAGCTTACATTGAAAAGAAAATGAGTGTTATCGGTCTATCCCTGGATTCACTATCTATGCTCTCCCACTTGGATGCATTCCACAGGATTAAACACAAAATCTCTGTAGTGCAGCCAGTAAAACGTACTGTCCATTGAGCTTGGAGATTCCACTAAAAGCAGGCCATATGGCTCCATATCTCCACGCCCTTGAAATCCCACAACAACATGGAGCTTTTTCTTTGGCCGGATTTAATGTTATGCCATCTGCAAGCCTACATGGAAGAATTCAAAAGGTACCATATTCAGCTAAATACTGTCCCTGTAAGCTAAGTTGCATTGAAACAATTTCACATATCCTTTTTTATTGTCCTTTTTGTGTAAAAATTCATACTAAATATTGAAACCCTATTTTGGCAAATAAGATGGGATTTCTCTGATCACATTAAGGTTCATTTTATCCTGAATGACTCCTTTCCGGATATAATTGAGAAGGTGGCTATATTGGCTTCCTGTTTGTGGGTTGGCGATGGCGGTCACTCTCCCCAACATCTGGGGAGGCAATTAGCACACCAGCGGCAAGGAGGGGTGCTACCTCAAGTGGTACTCCCACGGAGCCCTTGTGATGGGTTCCAGGCCAGAGGGCTTTTGTGATGGGTTCCAGGCCAGAGGGCCAGAGGACAGCTTGATGCCGGAGAATAGAGGCTTCCCTCCGCCCTGGTGGTCCTGCTGCTGAATGACCTTTGGGTATAAGCTAATTTGACCAGGACAAGCGCAGGAGATCGAGCGGAACAACGATGAAGAAAGTGAGGTCAGAATATGACCATCAATGAACGTGAGTTCAAAATAAACGGACCATTTTGCTAAAACGGAGTCCGTCCCCCTCCCCCCGTGGGAAAAGCGGCGTGCAAGGAGGGACGCCTCCTAAGTGCATGAAAGGACTAATGTAGCGAAGGGGGGAAGTAAACAGCGAGTTTTTTCTGAGAGACTTACTTGAGTACCGATAGTGGAACGACGAGTCTTTCGAGCCCTGGCATAGCGGTTTGAAAGTGTAAACAAAGTGGAACATGGCGGCTTCCCGAGGAAAGTTAAAACCGAAACCAGGCAGTCAGAGCCCAAGACCGGAAGAGGGAGCAGACGTCATGAAGTTGCTAGCGGATATGCTGAAGCCGGTAATGGAGCAACTCGGTGGTATTAACCAGCAACTGGCCACACTAAACCAAAACTTCGCTCTGCAGCAGCGCCAGCTGGCAGAAATGGAAAAGAAAGTGGAGCATGCAACTCTGAAAATTACAGAGATGGATACCGCAAATAAGAAGATGAAGAAAAGAGTAACGGATGTGGAAACAACACAAAAACGTCAGGAAACTCATTTGTTACAGCTTCAAATGGAAAAAGCTAACATGACTCTCAGATTTCAGGGGGTGCCTGAAATGGAAAAAGAAGATTTGAAGAAAACTCTAGGAGAGATTATCGCTCCAGTAACAGGTATATCAGCAGATGAAATAGTAAAAGACATGGATAAGATATAAAGAGTCAATTTGATGGTATATTTACCTAATTATATTCCAAAAGCAATCTATATTCTATGTTCTATCTTATCTATTTTATATGCCAATAAAGGACTGATTTATTGATTGATTGTTAATTTTAAAGCTGTCTGTTAGAATAACCATTACTGACCATTTGGTTTTTACTGCGGTGGCTCAAGTGGTTAAGATGCTGAACTGTAGGCTGTGGAAGGTCAGTAGTTCAGCAGTTCAAGACCCGAGTTGCCGCATGATGGAGTGAGAATAACCATTACTGACCATTTGGTTTTTACTGCGGTGGCTCAAGTGGTTAAGACGCTGAACTGCAAACTGTGGAAGGCCAGTAGTTCAGCAGTTCGAGACCCGAGTTGCCGCATGACGGAGTGAGCTCCCGTCTCTAGTTCCAGCTCCTGCCAACCTAGCAGTTCGAAAGCAAGAAATTGCAAGTAGATAAATAGGTACCACTTTGGTGGGAAGGTAACAGTGTTCCGTGCGCCTTGGTGTTTAGTCATGCCGGCCACATGTCCACGGAAATGTCTTCGGACAGCGCTGGCTCTTCGGCTTTGAAACGGAGATGAGCACCGCAACCCTAGAGTTGGACTCAACTGGCTTTCGAGCAAGGGAACCTTTACCTTTATAAGGGCAAAAGATGGAGGCCCAGCTAATGATTTTTGGCATAGCCTTTTTCAAACTCCCTGCATGGAGACAATAATTGAAAGAAAAATCGGTCTGAACTTTCTGCTTGCAAATTTGAAGGCTGCTAAATATCTGTCCTTTGTTCAGTCGTTCTCTTTAAGTGTTTGTTTGGGATGACCTCTTAGAGCTTCATTGAGAACACAGTTCAGAGGCATCATTGCATATACTTATTTCACATGAGAGAGAGATATGCAGCTGCCCATAAACAAGGAGGTTTGTGAAAAGCAGCTTAATTTCTGAGCAGTTCATGCACAGTATTATGTCCTTTACTCTAACAAGTCAGTGAAATGGTCAAACTGTCCTGTGGTGTGAAGTGTGGAATGGTTAATTTGTATGAATCATCCTGCCAAATGGTAAAGAGGACGTTAACCAAGTATTGAGCACAGATACATAGCAGGATGGTAAAATGGTGGTCTACCCCATGCATATGAGATTACTGTTTTTGTTTTCTATTAATACAATTCTTTTAAAGCTATTCCTGCAAAGTATGTATTTTGGATACAGTATGCACACCACTAGTTAAACTTTATTAGCTGTTACAGGTCAAACTAAGCATTATGATCCTTATCCCAGAATCAGGGCAGCCAAGGTGGTGAATAAGATCTTTACAGCTCAGTATAGAAGCATAGGTAGAGCTGATCTCTTCCTCTCACTCACCTGCTTAATTTTTTTTCTCCTAGTGGAGATTGCGTCTGGCGATAGAGTTCCAATAGGAGAAGAATAACTTCTTCTGAAAAACAAAAATGGATTCCAGGAGCAAGTCACAAGCAAGGAATAGTTTAGCCCTTTTCATCTACCCAGATTGGTGTAGTGGTTAAGTGCGCGGACTCTAATCTGGGAGAACCGGGTTTGATTCTCCACTTCTCCACTTGCACCTGGCTGGATGACCTTGGGCAAGCTGTAGTTCTGATAAGAGCTATTCTTGAAAAAAGAGCAGTTTCTGTCAAGAGCTCTCTCAGCCCTACCTACCTCACAGGGTGTCTGTTGTGGGGAGGGGAAGGGAAAGGAGTTTGTAAGCCGCTCTGAGACACCTTTGGGTAGTGAAGGGTGGGCTATAAATCCAATCTCCTCCTCCTCCTCCTCCTCCTCCTCCTCCTCCTCTTCTTCTTCTTCTTCTTCTTCTTCTTCTTCTTCCTCTTCCTCTTCCTCTTCCTCACACTGTTTTAAATTCTCCCCTTCATACTTCTTTGGAATTTGACACAAGCTGTTCTAGTACTCTCCTGTTCAACTAGTTCTACCTGAGAACTTTGCAGACTGGGGGTGTTCAGGTGCTACACATGCATGTATGTACCAGCACGTGTGGGAAGTGTCCTTATCCTGGTTATAATTCATTGTTTTCCATAGGTTTAGTATTCAGGAGGGGTTCTGCATTTTGATAACTTCAGAATTTTATCGTTAGACATTACCTTCTTATGTAGTAGTGTGAGCTGAGGGATGCTCATGAGCTTAAAGGCTGCATCAATGTCTCTACATATGGAGGCTGAAATAATATTATTGACAAAATTTACGTCTCTCCTTTTTGCCCTTACAAGAGCCACCAAGGTTGCTAATGATTCAAACGGGGCTGAACTGTATTGGACAGGTATGGTTCACAACCCTGATTTTATGAACCATGGATTTAAAACCAAAGGGCTGCTATCATTTCCTCCCCTTTTTATGACATAATTTATATTATATTAGGATATCTTGTCTTATCCTAATATTGAAAGGGTTTTAAGAAAAACTGCTTCATATTATTATAACAAAGTTGATAAGTTGCTCCAGAAAGCCAAACTAATAATACTAAGGTGATGTCCCCATCAACGCTTAGCTGATGCATCCTAATTATATTAAATATCAATCGTGTTGGTTCTTCTGTTTCTAGAAACTTATTCCCTTGTGGGGATTCCATGGTTTGCATTATTGATGACCGAGAAGATGTCTGGAAATTTGCACCTAATTTGATAACTGTGAAGAAATATGTATACTTTCAGGGCACAGGAGATATTAATGCACCACCTGGATCAAAGGAAGCGCAAATGAGAAAGAAAGGTATCTCTGTTTTATGTTTCCATATAGTCTGCATTTGTACAGTTATGTTGTCCAGACTATAGTTGTTTTAAGCTTACTGCAGATATAACAAAGTTCTAATGATTAGAACAGAGTTCTTTTAAGACCAACAAAGTTATATTCTTGGTATAAGCTTCTGTGTGCAAGCACACTTGTTTGTTAGAACCATGATAGCCCATCACATTCCTGGTCCTCTTTGCACTTAAACTGAAAATCCCCAGACTGTAACATTTCCTTATAAGAAAGGTGCTTCAACCCTCTCTTCTGTGCCTTTTTCAGATCTGTGACATCCTTGCTTGAGATGGGGCAGCTTGAACTGTGGACAGTATTCAAATTGCAGTTCTCCCATAAACCTTTACAAGGCATTACAAGACTAGCCATTTTATTTCAATCCTTTTCATTAAAACCATAGCACAGAATTTGCCCTTTTCACTGTTCCTAGACACTGAGTCTGCGTTTTCTTTGAGCATACAACCCCAAGATATTTCCTAGTTGTTTACTGTCAGTGTATAAGAAAAGTTAGGATTTACTTCAGTGTGCTTTGATGTACACTCAGGTTGAGTCTTATTTTCCACTTTAGGGGCCACCTACCCAATTTGCTGAGAAACTTTTGGAGCTCTTTATAGTTCACTTTGGTGTCACCATCTAGATTGAACTGGTGTCATCTGCAATCTTGGCCACTTTAATGCTCACTGTGAATTCCAGAACTTTTATGAACAATTGACTAGCACCAGACCCAATACTGAATCCTCTGAGACCCTGTTTTTTGCTTCCCTTGTTTGTGAGACCTGCTGCCACCCCCTGCTTTCTGTCATTTAACCAGATTAGTCCACAACTGGACTCATCCTCTTATGTTTGCTACATTTATTCAACCCAGCCCTTGATGACATACTTTGTTAAATGTATATACTTTCCTTTAATCTGATTAAAGCTCTGACGAAAAGTCTTGAGCAGTCAAAACCCTACTGTGAAGTAGGGTTTTTGCAACAGCAAGGGTGAGGTTAGGGAATCTCTCAGATAAAAGGAGTAGAACTAGCTTGTGATGAGACAAAGATAAAAAATTATCAGGTACTGTGTTAAAAACCTATTTCTAAGACACTCCAATAAGATATGTATTAAAGTACCAATTTTCCCCTTAGAACTATCACAAAGGTAGTCTGAGGAAGGAATCTTTCTTAATCTGTCCTTCATAACTGGAGTAGAGCTGTGCATTCAATCGAGATAATAAGAAAGCTCTAAAATAATTTGGGATACTTAGATAAAAAGCATAAGAAGGCAGCGATTTAGTGGAGGAATACCTAAAAAGAAAGAGCAAACCCTGCAGGCATAAGACCATGTGCTCAAGTAATCCCTTTTTTGGATATTTTTCTTGATATAAGACTTAACAACTGTAGGTTCCAGGCCTTGAATAATATCGGGCTGTAGACCAATAAGAGAGAGTTTTGAGTTGAGATCTTGGACCAAGAAGATTGATGAGAATATGCTTTTAATAAAGATAGGTATCCGGACTTACTATAGAGCATGTTAAGGTACAAATTGAATTCCAGTTGCCAAGCTTTAGCCTCCAAGGATGGTTGGCCCAATTCTGCTCGTACGGACGCTGCAGCTATACATTTTGGTGTGTTGGTCAACTTATTATTTATTGATTCAACTTATGAAGGAAGCAAAGTAGAGGGAGGTCTGAGGATTCTTTGACTGATTTGATCTAGATTGTTGCCCCAAAAAGCAAGATAGGGACAATTTTCATATTGAAAACTTGAATCGCCCTGGGAATCGCCTCCACAGTACCTAAAAAAGTTTAGGATGCCTTCAGTGCAAGGTCCTGCTTTCTTCAGCATGGCTTTTAGATGATAAGTCCTACTCAAATTATTTGTGGAAACTATTCCCAGATATGTAAATCCCTTCACTTGTTGGATTCTAATATCAATAGACCATCCGTATAAGGGAAGGTTCCTTTTTTTCTGAAAGAGGAATTCTTTGCATTTACCACAATTAATTCCTAGATCTTCAGAATGACACTAAATTGTGAAGTTGTTCAATAGTCTCGAGTCCAGTGTGAGAGCAGGACAGTAGAAGTGTATCTATAGCATATAATAAAAGTGGTATCTTTAGGCTGGCTAGACAAGGAGGGTGACAATTTTTGTGAAAGGAGCCAGATAAATAATTGAAGTATAAGTTAAATAAGAATGGAGCTAACAAGCTCCCCTTCTGGACTCCCTTGTAGATAGAAAAGCTTTTAGACAGACCTCCTCCTACGCTGCAATGGACCTGAGCACTCCAGCCAATACAAAGATTTCCTATCAACCATAACAGTCATCTATCCATAGTGGATTTCCTTAATTTGTTCCAGAGTCTTCATTTAGAGGTGCTGTCAAATGCTCCTTTAAGATCCATAAAGGCTGCATAAAGAACTCTTTTGGAATATGAAGTATATTTTTTGGCTTAATGGAAGAGAATCAGACTATGATCTAAAGTAGAGCAACCTCTTCTGAAACCAATTTGCTCCTATCCATTGTTCCAGAATAACTGTCATTTCCTTCTCATCAGTATCCTAGTTCTGTACCTGCATTTGCTAATGCAGGTATTAGATTTCATCCATTCCAATAGCTTATCCAATAGATAAGAGGAGTATAATTTTCTTAAGTGGAATAGTAAAGAAATTGGATGGTAACATGCCAGGGCAGAGCGGGACCCTTTTTTAAATTTGGGGACTATGATGGTCTGCTTCCAAGAGTATGGAATATTACCAGAGGCATTTACCATGCTAAATACTGGGCTAAAACTTCACCCCACCAAGTAGGATTAACTTTAAATATCTCATTAGGAATTAAATCTGCACCTGGGGCTTTTCCCGCATGCAGACGAGAGGTAAGGTGTTACTACTTTTAGAGTAATTGGGGGCCAAACAGGAAGATTGTCAGAAGTAGTTGAATTAGATTGTGTTGAAGAAAAGAGAGAACTGAAATAGTTAACCCGGGTGGATGATGAAATGCAAAAATGGATATTATGATAGACCTTCATTCCAGAGCTAATGATTGACCATAATGCAGATGCATTATTATCGTTAGCAGCTGCAATCATTTCCAACCCTTACAGATTAAGTTGTGTTTGTGATGTGCTAACAGAGATCTATAATACTTTTTAGTGCCAACAGTTCTCTCAATGACGCATGGTCATTTTTCTTTTAAAATTCTCTGTCCTTTTATGAGAGTTCTTTTTTAATCTGTTTGCGTTCACTGCCAAACCATGGGTTTCGATGCATTACCCTAGATAGACAAATTCTCTGTGTTTTAGTCTTCGTATATATTGGTTCAGAAACTTTAAAGATCTCAGAATATGCAAAGAATCTGCAGAAGATGAAGATGATTTATATTTAGACACTTCTTTAGTAAATTGTAAACTCTGAACTATTGAATAAAGTCTAGGGTTCCAACAGATATTACATAAACAATTAGATGATTGGCCGAGCGACTCAGAAGGTAAGGACAATAAGCGGGAAGTCTTAAGATCTAAAAATAAAAGAATTGGATGATGATCACTTCCCAGAAAATTGCCCACTTCCATAGCCTTCACAAAGGGAACCACTCTTGTTCATAAGACAGAGTAGTCTATGACAGTTCCATTTGTGCCAATATAGGTGTAATCTCCTTGGAGTTGAGACCTACTGGACATTAATTGGAATTAAATTTCTCTGAATACAAAGATTCACTAGATCTAGGCTATTCAAAGTAACAACTATATATCCTTAGAAACTCTGTCAAACCAATAAGGATTGAGAAGGTCTTCACTGTCTGGACTGTCTGAGTTTCCTGGAAGTTAGTACTTTTTCCCTGTATTTAAATACTTCCCTTGTGGGATTACAACTTTCCCTTTTAACTCTTGAGGAGTCTAAAACCATTTCCCTTTTCAGATAATCTAGGGGTCCCTCCTGCATTGAACCCACTTAATAACTGGGTAGGAAATATCCTCTTTCTAGGAGTGATAATCCTTTTCTGTTTGGCTAAACTGGCAGTTTCAACCCACTGTCGAGTCCCTTCTGTCAAACCTAAACCCCAGTTCTGGAGAATGTGAATAAATGGAATTCAGCTAGGGCTGACAATTAGATTTTAAGTTCTGATTTTTGTACTTCTCCTCAAATGTGATGGTACACAGTAAGGGCAGGGAGTTGTGTCCCTTCACTTCCCGAATGAACTTGTCTGTTTCTGTCAGACGGGCACACACACACTCCTCCTGACTGGCTCCTGCCAAGTCAAAGTCCAAACAATGACTGACTCACTCTGGCAACACTGACAAGACTTTTAAAAGCTCTCCTCAGCTGACGCTGACCAATCAGAGAAAAGGGGGGTCATGCAGGCAGCCGCCTGTCAATCAAACTGTGCCTTACAGTGAGGCATTAACCCCTAATCTCCCAGTTCACTGCTTTTGTTGTGCTAAGCATCCTGGTTTTGGAGGTCAGTTCTTCAGAGAGGCTTTTAGCCAAAACCTCAACTAATCTTTTGAACTCTTAAAGACTCTCCTTACGGCTTTATTGCCATCTCTTCACACGCGCTCGCTCACTCATTCTTCACTCCCTTTCTAACAAGTCAAGCAGTTTTCTTTCAGTCACTCACTCCCCTGCTCTCCACAGCCTAATTACTATCCCTCCATAGCTCTACACATATAACTCTAATCTTTGGTACGTCTGATAAAAATACAAAATAAATGGCTAGGTAGCTAATTATATATATAAAAGAGAATGCTCTGCAGAGCGCAACCAAAGAGCATCATATAAGTCATCACAGCCGGAACCGGAACTATCATTATACTAATTAACACTCTCAAAGTCCCAAATGTTAGTGAGGTGGGACTTCCCTTTGCACAAATCATGCCAGTTCTATCTCAGTACAGCTTGTCCCTCTCTGTGTAATGATTGCCACAACTTTTCCCAGAACAGATGTCAGACTAATTGGCTTCCTGCATCTCCATTTATCCATTTTTTTTTG